GTGAGGGTGGACATAGTGGTGAGACCAAGACCCCTGGAGTCACACAGGAGCTGGGCTCAAATCCCAGCTCTGTCCCTTTGTGACTTTCTGTGAACTACTGAACCCTCTTTGCCTGTCTCTCCTCCTTTAGAAAACTGAGATGGCAACAGTACCTTCCTCAAAGAGTCGGTGTCTGGATTAAGTGAGGGGGGGTGGGCCAGCAACAAAACAGGAAAAGCTCCTTGGGCAGTGCCAGGAGCAAGCCAAGGTCTGTGTGAAAAGGAGCCAAGGCTCTGGGTGGGATCCTCACGTCCTGACCGCTTGTGGGAAGATTTTTGGAGCATCTTACCATTTACACGATTTTCCCCCATCGTACGTGCATTACAACTTTCTCTAGCCACCTCGGAGGTGGACTGGGTTACCATCATCTTTGTTATAAAGAGGTGGGATTCAAGAGATCCCACGTGGCTGGAAAAAGACTTAGGCTGGGGCTTTCAATCTACATCTGTGGCTCCTAATCATCTTGCTCCTGCCTTAAAAAATCAATTATTCCCACGGCCATGCTTTTTGTTATCCCGATGTTGATGTATCTCTTTTTCAAGTTTATGCAGATATATGTGTGGTACCTAATGTTTACGTTCCTCGTGTGAAATTGGTACATGCTCATAGCTGTGTGCCTGATTTATTTCACCTAACACTATGGTCTCAAAGTGCATCCATTTTCCTACAAACAACTCAAATTTATCTTTATGTCAAAGTAATGCTCCACGGTGTAATTACCACATCCTTCTTTATCCATTCATCTGTTGATGGACACACAGGCCACTTCCAGGATTCAGCCATTATCAATTGTGCACTAAATTGTGCTATAAACATAGGCATGCATGTGTCACCGTAACCTGAGGACAATAAGTCTCTCAGGAAGATACCTAGAAAGGGAATAGCTGGGCCAAATAGAATTTCTAGTTTTCGTTTTTTGAGGGATCTCCATACTGATTTCTGTAGTGGATGTACCAGTTTACACTCCCACCAACCGTGTAGAAAGTTTCCTCCCCTGCCCCCAGCCTCTCCAGCATTTGATTTCTGCCACGACCACTCCAGTGGAGTCTGCGTGACAATGCCGGTCACCTGGCAGAAACCAGACCCGAGGTATCGTCCCCACGGGGTTAAGCCTCCTGGAGGTCCTTGGCACACACACCATGCGAAGTCAGCCGTGAAGAGAATAGCTGGCCTCTCTGCCTGCAGTTTGGGGACACTGGGTTCATTTATAATTCTGTTCTATTTTGTCTTTATTACTATTTGTTCATTATCTGTAGAATTGTATTCTGGGCCCAAGAAAGGTTAGGAACAATTAGATGTTCCTAGAGATGTGGAGATATTGAGGCACAAGAGGATGGGCGGCCAAAGTGCTGACCCTGAGCCCCGGACTGTGAAGTCCTGAAGGTGAACCTGAAGGTGACATGCTAAAGCCAGTCCTTTGTCTTACAAACTTCCCCCCTTCTGACTGCGTATAGGTGTGGTCTTACCTTGACTCAATGGTCTTAGCTTTTGTGATGGTATATAGGTGTGGTCTTACCTTGACCTTGTGTTCTTAATTTTTACAGTACTATTGTCTATCTTATGCCTGCCTGTGACTGGAATCACTCTTGTGATGTGCCCTTGAAACTAGTATATAAACACCTGGAGTTAGAAATAAAATTGCAGCAGCATTGGCAAACTTCACCTCGGTGTTGAGTGCTTTTGTCTGACTGTCATCGCCGAACCTGCTCCCACCTTTCAGAGAACCTGTATCTCCTCGTGAAATCCCGTGTATGCTGCCCTATGGTCGGTAGCAAACCTGCTCCCACCTTTCTGAAGATCCCTGTTCTCCTCGTGAAATCCAGTCTTTGCTCCCCTATGGTCGGTAGCAGATTTCTTGATGCTGGTCGTTTTTCCTGGGGCAAGATGGAGTCTCGGTGCTGTTTTAATTTGCATTTGTCTAACAGCCAGTGATACCAATCAATAGTTTAACTTTCATCAAGAGTAGATCCAGGCATCTAAAGTGTCAGAAGTCAAACATAAATTGGCCCACTTTGAGTAGGTTCTAGAACACGCACGTCCAGTGCCCCCGTGAAGCACTGGACAGCTAGTCACGCAGCCGTGGGAGATCACACACCTTTAACATTTTAGTATGCGATTTTTAGCAGCCGTATGGTGGTCGGGGAGCAAACTGATGTACTGGTTTCACAAAGCGAGGTAAAATATCCCAATAGCTTTATGTTCATGTTGCCCTCTCTTTTATATGTTATAATAAAATATTAAAAAGCAGAGGAAGTTTTGCTACTTATATAAATGCATTAAGTATATCACATGCACCCCAAGACAACTCTTCACTCAACGTGCCCCAGGCAAGCAAAAGGTTTGACACCCACGCTGGCCAAACATATCCGTCTTAATGTCCACCGATGGGGAAACCGTTAACTATGGGTCATCTTTATATGAAATATCATGAAGCCAACAAAATATGATATATGTGTCCTGGCCAGGAAAGGGATCCACACACATTCAACCAGAAGCGCGCGTTGTGGAGCACTGTGGCAGAGTGTGCAAGACCACAGACTACCAGTCTCTCTACACTATCATCCACCCATGCACCACAGCTCCTTGCCACAACTCTCCTTTTTCCCGATCCTCTTTGTCTTCTGTCAGGATTCTTTCCCACCTTCTTGCTTAATGTCCTTCCTTCAGTGTCCGGGTCTCCTACCACAAGGATGAAAACTTGCTAAGGAAGTCATGCGCATGCTCCATGGCTGCGCATGCGCCGCAGACGCACATGCTCCATGGATGCCGATGGCGTTAGCACGTTGGTCCCGCCCCCAGGGCAGAGTCCAAGAATGATTGGTCTGAGTTGCACACATCCCAGGATTCTCCGCTTTGGCTGTGTCACTTTGGTCCAGGGTCTTCTGCTGATGATCACCTTCTGGCTCAGCACTAGAGTCAGCTGGGGCTTTCTGTGTTAGCTCTGGCTTTTCTGTTGTGTGGTTTTGTTTTTGTTTTTGAGACAGAATCTTGCTATGTACTTCAGATTGATTCTGAACTCATGTAGCCCAGGTTGGCCTTGAACTCATGGCAATCCTCCTGCCTCAGCCTCCAGAATGCTAGAATTACAGGCGTGAGTCTCTACACCCGGCTAGCTGTGGTTTTTGAGACTGTTTTCAGACGCTGACATTATGATTCTTATACTTCCCATGAGTATTATGGCAAGGCCCTCTAAGTGCAAGAATTTAAACCAAACTTAATTCAAGTAGGAAAATGAGAATTAAAAGCCAGCCCTGGAGATGAGGAGCTGCTGCTTTCCCATATGCTTCTTTATATGAGCTACATTTCATACCAAATTGATAGCCATGAACCCAGCTCCGTAAAGAGCAATGATAGTAGCTAAACTTACATCGGGCTTACAGTGAGCACTGACCCCTTCGGACAGCCTCACAATCCCTACCTATGAAGTAGGTCTCCCCATCCGCATTTACAGTTGAAGACACTAAGACACAGAGAAATTCAGGAACTTGGCCAAGGTCACCCTACCAATGAGAGGCATAACCCACATCAGATCTCAAGGAATCTGCCCCCAGTGTCCAACACCACTGGGACCATTAATTATGACATGTCAACTGGACTGGATTAAGAAACACCTGGCAGATTAGTAAAGCAACCTTCTGGGAGTGGCATGGAGACGTGACCTCAGCTGCCATATGGCCCCTAGTCCCTTCCTCTCTGGCACTGTTACCCTGCTCTGCTTCCCCGAAGCCATGGACTAACCCTCTTTGCTCTGCTCCTCCCTTCCACTGTATTTCTGCCTTGGATCCAGCTGACCATGGACTAAATCCCATGACACTGTGAGTCAAAGTAAACCTCACCTCTTTTCAGTTGTGGGTGCCTGGTATTGTGTCTCTGTGATGAGAAAATGACTAATATAACCACCAGACCCTTCATCCTGCTACCTCAGAAATAAACCAAGCATAGGGAAATATCAGTCTTCAGTTCAAGAAGTAATTTTTGAAGCTTCTTTTTTTTTTTAAAAATCAAGTTTGGAAAATATGGAAGCAAAACAGAGGAATGGAGGTTTGAGAAGAAAAACCAAGAGGCTGAGCTCAGAGAACCGGGAAATTGGATGAGGTAGACGTACAAGACCACATTTTTTTTCTTTTGCTGATTTGAAATTCACATAACAAAATTAGCCATTTTAGAGTTAACAATTCAGTACCATAAAATAGCACAGCTGTTACCTCTGTCTAGTTCTAAAATATTCCCATCACCCCAAAGAAAAACCCAGTCCGTGGAAAACCCCAACCTGTGCTTTGTCTCTTTATTTATTCTGGTCTATGTAAATAGCCTTTCATCCTGCACCCTTACTTAGGGTTATGTTTAGATAGCATTTCTCAGTACTTTGTTCTTTTTTAAAAAATCTCACTGAGTTTATTGGTACCTTTTAGGAACTCAGTACAGTTACACTCATCCTTGGGATCTTGTATCTTTACGTGACAGGTCTTGGTTCTCATTTTTCCCCTTGTCCCTGCCCTCCCTTCACCCCCTCCACCCTCCCTTATTTCTGCGTCCTTTTAATGGGCACATAAAATTCCCTTGTGTGTATATACCACAGCCTGTTTATGCATTCACCTGTTGATGAGCATCAGGAATACTCTCACTTTCTGAGTGTTGTGGCAATGTTCTATGAATGTGTAAGTACGTGTGCCTGTTTGTGTACCTGTCTTGAATTCTTCTGAAGCGTCAGGTCAGGTGATAATCCTGTGTAATCCTTTCTTTAGGACATAATACTGTTAATATTATAAATAATATTGCATACATAAGTAAATATATTAATAACTGTGAATCAGTGCATCAGTCTCAGCGCTGTTGACACTTGGGCCTAGACAATTCTTGGTGGGGAAGGCTGACCGAGGCTTGGAGGACTCTGCCCTGTCATCCCGGTCTCTCCCAGTAGATGTCAGTAACGTCCTCCCGGGTCTAACAACTGCTGATGTCTGGAATGGCTGGCTGCCAGATGCCCCTAGGAAGCAAAATTACTCCCCTCCCCCCTGAAAACCACGGTTTTAATGGTTCTCTGTAAACTCGAAGCAAGTACGGTTGACACTAAAGGAAAATACGAAAGCAAAGGAAGACTCTTAAACAAGAGACGTTTGTATGCAGGAAGACCTTTTTGCTTACTGTGTATTGATGTCGAAGAGCTTGCAGATTTACAAATATGTGACAATCAGAAAAATTTTATCATTAAATATCCATGTACCTTTCATATGTGACTTTAGTAATATAAGCTCAGCTCATCCACAAAACAAGAAATATAGCTCCCTCCACCTCTGTCCCCAGACACTACATGTACTAAATCACTTTTATAGCATACTGCAACACATAATTTTTAAGATGACAACTACCAGCAAGGTTTTCAAGATTTTTTTTTGACATGGCAACATTTATTTTTTTCAAATAAAAGCTCGGGAGGGCCCATGAGGAATGGAAAGATGGATGCTAATTTTCATTTTTGGATACAGTGAACCAAAATGAATCTTTTACTGTTACCAATCCTAGTGAGGTCCTTACAGAATAGTAACCCTGACTATATAAATGCCCGACCACAAAACAGCTGCTGAGAAGTGTTACGGAAATGGACCGACCAGTTTAGGCACAGACGGCGTTGGTGTAGAATTCACAGCAGTTAACAAGGGCCGTGGCACTGAACTCCTTGTTTTCCCAGGGACCAGAAAAAGAAAGTGAGTTGGTGCCATTTAAAGAGGTACTGAAATGAAAAGCCAGAGCGTCAGTGGGTCAGAAAAAAAAAAAAAAACAAGTCAACGAAGCATATCAGTAATTGTTACCAGGCAGCTAAAAGCAAAACCAGAGACTATAAATGCATCCATCAGCCATGACTAAATAAATCAGAACCAATTAAATGAATCCTCTCATTCATACTGGCAATAATAGTAGCAGGAACCCCGTACAACTTGTGTCTGCTCCAGGGCCCAATTTCTAATCACAGCCCATCTAGAACTTTCCTTTCCAGAGACCTGAGGCAAAATTTATGCCTAGCAGTGATCTCAAAGTAAATTTATTCTAAAAAGCAAGGTAATATCCCGGGGCCTTTTTCCTTCTGAGAAAGGAAAACAGCTCAGACTAAATTAGTGTAATTAACTGGACAAAAACATCTCTTTCAGATTCTAGCTGCTAATGATCCTCAACATGTGCCTGGGAAATCCACTGACCGCTGTAAGAACACAGTCACCAAAACGCTGCGAAAGCAGCGATCGACCCGGATTATAATTCAGCTCGAACTACGGAGGACACTGGTTGCTTCATCTGATCATGAGCTCAAAGCCCAGGCTGGGCAGCGTCCATTCACATCGCTTGACCTAGCGGCCTGTGAAGCCTCTAGCACCTGAATATCCACTGCATGGTGAACAGACCGCTAATTAACGATAACTTCCAGTGGTATCTCCAGCTCTGATTCCTCTCCAGACCCCAGGCCCGAGGTGCTTGAGTCGCTTTACACGGTGGTCCCACAGCTACCTCCAGGTTAACGTATCCAAAACCCAACGAGGCCATAAGCTTCCCCTCTTCTGGAACCAGCCCACTTCCTCTCCATCAATAAATGGCATTTTTAGATTCTTTTGCCCAAGCCAGAAGACACGGCTGTTAATCCTCCCACCCCACCCCTTTCTCCTATCCAAGTGATGACCTCCGCTCTTGACTCTGCATCCTCACAGCCGCTTAGCGTAAGCTCTCACCATCTCTCACCAACACTGACACAGCAGTGTCCACATCCATCTCCCTGGAACCCAAGTGGCTACCAGAAGGATCTTTCCTAAAAGCACAGCTGATCGTGTCTATGTTCAGAATTCGTCTGGTCAAAACCTCCAGTGCCTAGCACCTCTTCCAAAGCCTTCCGTCTCTTGCAGCCTCATGCCCTGACCTCCCCTCCCTCACCATGTGTCGCCAGCCATGCACACACACCTTCCGTTGTAACAGTGCCGAATGCTCTAACTCCTAAACCCTTCCTTTTTGTGTCCCCAAATCAGTTTTTCTAGTTTAATGCTGTATTCTTTTCATATGCTAGAAACTGATAAAGAATTTCGTTTTTCACATCATGTGAATGCATCATGATTGCAAAAATTTAACTTTGTCCTCTCTCAGTAATATTTCTTCTTTATGAAGAAGCCCATACTTTTTTCGCCACTTGGAACCATTGCTAAGCCTTTATTCTATCTATATTCCAATCATGATAAAAAGAATTAACTTCTCATCAGAGAACCACTTTCTCCGTGTTCTTTCCCTGCCCTTCTGCTCCTCGGGTCTCACCAATACAGCTAGAACCCAGCCCCTGGACACAGAAGGGCAGACACCAAAGGCACCCCACCAGGGAAGGGCCCAGACCTATGCCTTCACCAGCACTCGTGTCTCCTCTCATACGGGGAGCCTTCTCTCTCCCCTCCCCGAAGGCTCCTGCGTGGAGGAGAGCGCACAAGAGAAGGGTCCTGGGGCTTCACTCACCTCTGGAAGAGCTCTTGGCAGCACACGTAGCTCTCGTAGGTTCTATTGGTGAAACTCGCGTTTAGGAAGGAGACGCAGTCCGCCTCGGCTCCCCTGGGCACGTAGAGGATTCCTGGACAAAAGGGACACGGACACTGAGGGGACGTTGACTTGGCACTGACTTGGCAGCCGTTATGAGCTGTGCCGCTGTAAACATGGGAATGCACAGATCACTGTAATATGATGACTGTAACCCTTTGTGGAAGCCTCTAGAAGGGGAATGGCTGGGTCAGATGGAATTTTCAGCTTTAAGTTTTTGAGGAATGTCCATACTGACTTCCTTGGGGGTTGTACTAGTTCTTAACTGAGGTGTCTTTCTACACATCTATGGGGTGGCCAGTGGACTCAGTATTCTGACAGCAACCTTCTTGTGATCCAGGTACACGCTTTTCACTGGGAGGCCCCACTGAGGCACCTACCTGCCATACAAGCACTGATGAGGGACACACAGGCCCCTGTAAAGAGGGCCCGGACCACAACCCTGGACAAGTCATTCTTCCGCTGGGGTACCATGGACGCTGTAGACAGCAAAACAGACCAATTTGATCTCTTCCTCACCCCAACATCAGTTCTGTGCCAGGAGCCCCCACTTAGAAGGATGCAGAGGAACAGAAGTCAGCAGAGGAAGAGCATCCTGGCTACCGACCACCAAAGTTTGAGGGTCGCTGCTCAGACTTCCCTCCACAATGATCAGCACCTGACTGTGATGAGAGCAACACCAACCCAAGCCTTGGCCAAACAGTGCACATCCCACTGTTAGCTGGCCTTCGTATAATCAGTGACCAGGCCTCGGAGTCGGACAGTACTTACCAGGAAGGAAAGGATGAATTAAAAGGAAAGCAGTTCAGTCGGCTATCAAATAAGTCAATTTAATGATTCTACCCCAGAACATGAGCTCCACGAGAATGATGTTTGCGTGATGTTCTGAACTTTGTTTCTTCTAAGATCCATTTCTGACTGGGGTCTGTGGGTCACACCCCTGCCCCTGCCCACCAGGGCCCTCCCACCTTCCTCCCTCATGCTGTTGCTCCATCACCCACGTTCGGCCCTACCTCCAGGGCCAAAGTGCATTCACGTCTGCCTCACACTCCTTCCTGCATTGGACCCAACACTGTCTCTTGTTGGACCTGCCTTGTGTGCCTGCTGCTTTCATGTATCTGTGTGCCCTTGTGTGTGTGTGTGTGTGTGTGTGTGTGTGTGTGTGTGTGTGTGCGTGTGTATTAGGGGTAGAACCCTGGGTCATCATACTGAGCCACATCCCCAACCCTTTTTATTTATTTATTTTTTTGGCAGGGGTAGGTAACAGGGATTGAACTCAGGACCTTGCACTTTTGAGGCAGGCAGCGGCACCACTGAGCTAAATCCCCACCCCTTCTGATTAATTTTTTATTTTGAGACAGGGTCGCACTTAAATCACAAGTTGTCCAGGCTGAGCTCAAATCTGTGACCCTCTGGCCTCAGCCTCCCAGAGTGACTTGCAGGCCCGGCTGACTTGCAGGGGAGCTGGAGAAAATTAACAACTCACTCAAGCCTCCCAGAGTGATTCCGATGGAACTGAGATTGGCGAATCCACAGAGTGAAAATGTTGCAATGATTTCAGCTTTCACCTAGGGAAAACAAAGTGAATAAGTGGACTGATTCAAACCCACATGTGTAGTCTGGAGATCGTGATGCAAGTCCCAGGGTACTTGGGGAAGTAACTGCTCCCCGAGTTACTGTGGTGACAGAGACACGGAGACCATCACGGGCTTCTCCACCCAACACTGGTACTGTTGAATAAAGAGAAGGCATAAGAATGAGTTGATGAAAGGGAAGAGCCAGAGAGACAAGGGGGGAAGGGAGATCAATTCTCAGCAGCTTAAAATGAAGAAAGTGCCTTAGCCCATCAAAAAGCGTGTCCTCCCTGGACACTGTAAGGACCTGACAATTACACAGCAGGCAGACACTGGGTCGGAGAACAGAGGAGAAAGAGCCCAAGACCTCGGAGTAGCTGAGGAATCGAAGGTGAGGCTGCTGCCCATAGGATTCCATTTGCTTCATGGAAAATTCCACTTGCTGCCCTGGAAAGCACCTGCGGTTCTGTCTCCGAGTTTTGTGTCACGCTTCCTGACTACTGTCAAACACCCACAGCCGCGATCTCATGCCATGTGTGCTTTTTCTGGGTCGTCACTTACAGAAATCCACTGCTTCTCGCCCTCGGACCACTCTTCCACTCCCGAGAGACGTTTGCTCTTGTACTGTGACAGCTGCTGATAGGCCACAAACTCATTGGTGAAGAACTTGATTCCCACAATCTCAGCCACGATGGCACAGTCGGCCCAGTCCACACCCATCATGAAAACCATGGGCCTCAGCACGTAGGAGCAGATGACCTGGATGAGGGAGAGGTAGCCGGGGGAGAGGAAGAACACATTGCAACTGCCGCACCAAGGGCCTTCTCTGGACCCTTGGCCCAATCTCTCCCCTTCTCCTTTCACGCTGTCTTGTATTTCTGCTTTCTTTTTTTTTTTTTTTTTTTTTTTTTACC